GGAAAATATAGTGTAGGGGGCTGGGGAGATGGCTCAGTAGAATAAGTGCTTCCCTAGCAAGTGCAAGGGCCTAAATTCAATCCCTGGTTCAGAAAGAAAGAAAGAAAAAAAAAAAAAAAAATACTGTGTAGCAAAAAGCTATCCTGAATCTTGTCTGAATTTTCAGAGAAATTATGACATAAAATAAACAGAAAAGTATCAAAGGCAAATCCCATAGTTACTATATTAGAGTAAAAAAATAAGGAGCACAATAACATCCAAACACACAAGGCATAGCAGAGACACAAACACTAAAGGACTACTATATGAAAACAAAACAAAGTATTCAGAGTTATAAATCTTAAAAATGATAAAACAACATTTACAACAGAAGTAGAATAAAACTTAAAAATCACTGCAGGAAAAAAGACTAAGTCAGAAGGGATCCAAGAACAAATAATTATCACAAAAAAAAAATGTTTTAAGAGAAAGAAGATAAAAAGGAAGTTTTACTTGTAGGTTGTCCCTCAAAGGTTCATGTGCTAAAAGCCCAGCCCTTGGGTTGGAAGGTGAGAAGAGACAGAACCTATCGAGGGACCATTAGAGGTGCTGCCCTTAAAAGGGGTAACATATTCCCGCCAGTTTGAACCATCAGTTCATACATGACAGCCCCATGCCGTCCGATGGGACAGTCCTACTGTGCATGTACCACTGGTGGTTCAGAGCCAGCTGGCAGTAAGACATACAAATTATGGCTACATCATGAACATGGTACCCCAGTTAGTTCCATGAGAGTGAGTTGTGTTTTATAAGAGACTGGCTTCTTCCTAGTCTTTGGCTTCCTGTCTCACCAAATAATCTTTCTCCCAAGTACTCGCACACACACTCCTGCCATCCTTTGTAAGGTCATCAGAGACTCAAGCCCATGCCAGTACAATCTTCTTGAACTTCTAGAACTGTGAAATAAACCTCTTTTTATTATATATTATTCAACTTCAGAAACTTTGTCACAGTAATGGAAAAAAGACTATTATTACATCCAAAGGAAGAAAATTGACTGAAGAGAACTAAGACTGATTAACAGGAATCCCTGAAGAAGAAAAATCAAAGCAATGATGCAAAACAAATACTAAAGGGGGGCCTGGCCCTAGCTCAGTCCTTTACGTGGCTGCTTCCACAAAGCTGTCAGCCTCAGGTTGCTGGAGTTCGAACCTCACAACTCTCCCCCTGGCCAAAAGTGCCCTGAAGGCATTCGAGGAAGAAAAAAAAAAAAAAAACCCTTAAAACAAATACTAAAAACTACAATTGCAGAAAACTTCCCTCCCTCACACCTCATTTTCTGCCAGACTGATACCTTTTTACCACTATTCGATCTTACTCTAATGGGTCCCATTGGATGTCTTCTATATTACTACTACCCTCTGACTTTCTCTGAATCGTTCATTTGAAAGTTAATGATACACACTCTTATTAATAGAGTGTAGAACATTACTTTCATGTATTTATGTCTTCTACTGAACAGGATTTCATTTATTTTTTTTGTTTTGTTTTTTTTGTTTTTTTGTTTTAATGGTTAGTACATTGTGTGTTGTTATTGCCAAAGTAGTTTCTCATATTACAAGACATAGGCAAGAAATAATAAGCAAATAACATAGGTACAAACCTCTTTTTTTAAGTCAACAGAAAATGGAAATATACTTTTTAAAGTTTTTAATACTAGAAGAAGATATCATACAATGTCTTTTTAA